ACTACAGTTTGTGGACTTCCTGATAGTAAAGAATTACAATAGTCCAGCCTTGAAGTTCTGAGTTCAAGTCCCACTCCCGCAGACTGCCACTCTGGGTCCCCTATTCTATAATTCTATATATTGGTTTATAGACTGGACTATCATCAGTAATGGTGCAAATACATAGAAATAGTTTTTTTCTTCCATCTTTATAAACAGACTTTAAACCACAAACTGTAATTCCTGTTAAAGAAAAATAGAATCCAGCTTATCTTTGCTTTAGCACTCAACAGCCTGTCAGTAACAAAATGGTTACAGAGAGAAGGTAACTGGAGACGATGCATTCATCGGGAGGCTTTATTCTGCTGCAGCTTGGCCCAGATTGGCAAAGTGAACAATTAGCTGTTTATGTTTCTTTCATTTGGATGAAAAGATGTGAAAAAAGGCCGTGTTTGCTGCACTGGGTAATGTTTTTATTGTTTAAACTCATGCTATGTGGAAAAAGGTAAGGAAGAAAGTTTACTTTCCCGTTAGAAGAGACACTTCTTTTTTAAATCATTTTTAAAATGATCGTTATTTCCGCAGGAAAATAAAAAGTGTTTTCAACATAATCCTGTCAGACATGGAACACTTTAGTGACGTAAACACTTACAAAGGAAGTGGGTGAGTGACCTAGAGTCTCAGGTGTCGGCATCGCACCGTCAACCTGCCCTCCTTATCTTACAGTAGCAGCATTTATAAATGGCCCTTTTCATTCAAAGGCCAGCCGAATGGCAGCCCACTTCCCTTCAACTCCCAGCAGTATCCCCTAGAACTTCCAGCCCCTCTGACATGTTTTCTACTCTGACTCCAGCCTTTCACTGAATTACAGGGTCTGACCAGCAGATGGCGCTTCTCTTTAGATCTAAAAGTCCACATATCATGACAGACAGAATATTTTAGTACAAAGATTGATGTTTACAAAGGAATTGTAAGGGACCAGCCAAGGGCCAATTAAGGAAAGGTAGCGACATTTTGAATGGCTACTACTGTACATTGCTTACATGTTATTCAATTTATTTATCTAAATCCAATCATAGATGATAGTTCTAATCCTGTTCTTCAGTGTTTCCTGCTGTTTCTCTCGTTAACAAAGATCTGGGCTCAGGTTTTATTGTCACTATATGCTTGTTTCATTCCGATTAACAAAAAACCAAAACAATTAGACGTTTGTGTGTCTGCTATTCTAATCCACAGCCGGCATCAGCAAGAGGCCATTCACATCAAGCCTACAGGTACTTCTGTAGGAGGTTTCTTCTTGTTAAAGGGATTTTTTCCTTTCCACTGTTGCTGCATGCATGCTCAGTGTGAGTGATTAGTGTAGAATCAACCAAACAATGAAAGCAAATGTCTGCTGTTGCTACGTACTCATCCAGGAGGAGAGAATTGTCCAAAGTCAACATCTCAATGCGATCAGTTGGGTTTCCAACCATCCATCTTCTGTTGCTTCTATGTCAGGGTCACAGGGGGCTGGAGCCCGTCTCTGCAGGGCCACACCACACCTACATAAAGGCAATTTGAAGACACGAATTGACCGAACAGTCAGAATTACCCAGAGAGAACCCAGAATGCTTTGACATGCAAATTCCATGCAAAAAGAATCAAATCCAGAGTCTACAACCTGCTCAGCCGTACAGCCAGAAAACCCTGAACCCGTCTGACTGGGTGATCTGGTTGAATCATCTCTATAAAGGGCTTTGAGATGACATGTGTTGTCAATTG